ATCAAAAATGCTGCCTTAATTTTGTAATCTTAACCTTCATATATATTTGTCTTACTTATAGAGAGCAAAAAATAATGCTGATTAAATAAGCGAAAAAAAAATTTGAAATATTGAGGCCCATTTTCTTCAAAATTTGGCCTGAAATTAAAAAATAAGGCCTTAAAAGGCCCTCTTATGACCAAAAAGGCCCACTTTTTAAGGCCTTAAGGCCTTTTTTTGGTCCCAATTTTTATTCTTGGCCCGCCCAAGGGGGCCCGGACCCCCAGCCCCCCCCCCCCCCCGGATCCGCCAGTGTTCATTATTTAGTCATCATTACTTTCATGATCAGTTATGGAGGTATTTGCACAAATGCCTTTGCATACCTACTTCATAGAAGTAAAATATGCCTAACACACACAATGGATGATCTCTGAGAGAGGGGAGCTGCATTTAGGCAATGGGAACAAACGTTTCGTTGCTTATTTCCCAGCAGTTTATTTCCCTCCCACTCCTGGATCTGATGGTACACTCTATAATTGTTGTTTTCCGCAGCATCAGCAGTTGGAGGAAGAACACGGCGCTGCAATAATTCATATCTTGCTGCTCGCTTTTAATAGAATTTTTGAAGCCTAAGTTCATTTAGGGTTTCACCATTTTTCCACCATAAATTGACAAAAGAGCATGTTCCCGATCTGCAATGACAGAGTTACTTGCATTTCACTGGTTTTCCACTTGATTACGTTGTAACAAAATGTCGGAACATCGAAGATATGATTTTTCTTTTTTCCTTATTTCATGCGTTGTAGGCAGAATTATCACAAACATGTATCAGTATTATATGTTTAAAAATGTACATATTTGCGGACAAATAGTTCAGAAGACAACAGAATCGTCGATTTACTTCCTCACTTAAGTTACATAAACGGTATTTTGATAAACAGTTAAGCTCTCACTTTGAACTGCCACCGTTTATGTAAGGAATTAAATCAACAATTCTGTTGTCTTCTGAGCTATTTTTGCGCAAACATGTACATTTCTAAAACATATGATACTGATACACGATTGTGAGAAAAAAACATCGTGGGGATTCTGCCTACAACGAGTGAAAAAAGGAAAAAAGAAATATCGTGCCTTCGACGTTTAGATATTTGACCCGTTTCGGTAAGAAGCGTAATTGATCGGATCACCAGTGCTTTGATAATTTAAAAACAACCGCTTGTTTTCTCAAGAACTCACTCTTTTCTATCTGCCTCAATGATAGCTTCTTGTCTATGCCATATATAACCTGAATGCGTTGTCACACCCCAGAAAAGATAAACAAAATAATGTCACAGACCACTTTTTCCGAAGACAATCTTATTTCATTTATATTCCAACATTTTGATTCTTGGGTTGCTGCTTTTGGTTCAGGTTTGAAGAAAATGTTGAAGTTTGTGTTTTGTGCATGATAAATTAGAAGCACAAGGAGATCTGTATGAGTATACTGTATTTGAGGTTTGGACACTTTGCATTGCAGTTTTCACAATCACAATATCTGCATCCGATTCTGAATGTAGCACATGTACACTCAATGTTTTCCAACCTGACAGACAGATTTACCATCATTCCTACGTACTGAAATTATATTAATGAAAGACTCCCCAGATATCTGAGATTTAAATGTGCTCTATCAGTTTAAATTCCGTTTAATAACCATAAATTCGTTTCTACAGCATTATACATCCAATTTTATAGTTCAAAAGTAATGTACTCTTAATATGTAATGATTTATTTATCTGATGAATTTAAATTCTGTAATTGCGGATTGTAAATAATAATTTAAACAATATTAAATTCCACAGAAACTACAACTTACATTATTTAGATAAGCCTAGTATAGAGCAGTTATCAAATACCCTAATATCAGAGTGGTGATATGTAATTATTCATCAAATACAAGTGAGGTCACCTTAATTTTCACCTGGTGCAACTAATAATTCCTAGTTTTCATACTAATAAGGTATAAACCGTCACAAAACTTGTATTTTAGATGATGACAATCCTATATAAATGATTTAGATGTCAACTCTAATACAAATGTGATGCATTGTGGGAGTTAGTCATCAAAACTATAGTCTCCCCTATAGTAGGCGGGGCAAAACTATGAAAATGAAATAATTTTTTTCTTCCTAAGTATACACGTTAGAATTCTGACACTCACCAAATATGAAGTCCATATAAATATGTAACACCATGATTTTTTTCATGCTTTTCTGACTAACTGATCCTAAAATATCTAAATAGATATGTGAAAACATGCCTGTTTTGTGGCCTATTTTGTTATACTTTGGGGTCAAATGACCAATTACTGGTCTCAAAAATGGTTAAAATAATATTTTAATTATTTGTGAATATGTGGTCTATCATAATAAAGCTTGAATACTTGACTAAAGTATTCCATTTGGGAAGGAAAAATTGTTTCCTACCAATACTCAATTTTGGGGTAGGGTTGTAGGGGGTACCTAGGAAGTGAAATTTCATATTTGTCCACTGCATACATTTTTCTACATTTTTGATATGTTTTTCAACTGATATCAATACATAATATAAGACTAATTTAAAAACTGTTGCAATTTTGGGGATGTTTGGGCCTTTTATGAGCCCATTTGCTTGGCCTATATATATTTTAGTTGAAGGAGGCATTGTTTGGAATGAAACGCCTCGTGAAATCAAAAGCTTAAAAATCATCCATATTTTCAAAAAAGTCATAAAAGATTATTTTTGGCTCACACAGTGAGCCTATGGGATCGACCAGGCGTCCGTCCGTCCGTTGGTCCGTCCGTCCGTCCGTTGGTCCGTCCGTCCGTTGGTCCGTACGTCCGTCCGTCCGTCCGTCAACATTGGCCGCACAAATTAAAACTGCTATTCGGATTGAGTCATATCCACAGTCATTTTATGCATATCCATTATGCCTATTTGACCTATCATCGCCATTTCCCAAGTTCGCCCGGTTTCCGAGAAATTGCTGATTTTGACGTCAAAAAGTAAAATTTTCTGTAAATACTAGACACTTTGTTGAAGTAGAACTTTCAAATATCTTGTAGTAGTTGCTGTATATGCAACTTGTGTCCTCTGAAGATTTCAAAGCTCTTGGAATTACAGTTTTTGGTGCTTACTCTATAAATTTTGACAAAAAGTAGGAAACTTTCTTATGTATAAAGTCATTGGCAGGTTTTGTGATTGACAAGTTTCTCAAAGTTTGCCTTATACTTGATCATTTCTTGCAATGAATTACATCATTACTAGATTTAAGCATTCCCTACATATTGCTCAATATATGTCAGCATCAAATCTTTACCGTTTTTGAGATATTTGACGTCAAAAAACAATAAAAATAAGTTATTTTTCAACTTGCTTCAATTTGACCAAATTTTTTTTGAAAATCATCTACAAGTTACCAGGAGTTCAAATCTAATATTAAAATTATTAATTTTAGGATTTGACCTTCAGTGACCTTTGAAAGGTCAAAAAGGTTGATTTTTCAAATTGATTTTTGGATGTAAATTTTGGTCAGCTTAATGACAAAATACCTTACTGAGCTCTAAATAAGTAAAATTTTCAAGGTCAAAGGTCATCAAACTAGGTCACACAACTGTGCTGTCTAAGTTTCTCAAAGTTCGAGACTACAAATCCAAATCAACATTTTTGTTTGAAAGTCAGGATATACATTCCTCAGAAGGTTCCAAACTGTGTGAGCACAGGACCGTGGGTCCTATTTTTATAGTTCAAGGAGTAGTTCCTTGAACTATATATTTTAAAATTCAGCAGATGTAATCGCGTCTTAATATTCTATAATGTGCTATTGTAGAAGAGACCTTTAAACATTTCCATTACATCAGTTTATTTTCTCAATAATGTACAATATCATACTCTACATAATTTCATGTACACTAAATCACAAATCAATGTAAATACCATAATATTCCCTCTCGAGGGTCACAGCCAGTATAAACTGTAAATATATATGTTACATTGGTGTTAATTTTAATTAAAAAAATCCAATTTGATAGGATTTCAGATTATAGTCACA